GGGCTCTTCCGGTGTCCAAATAGCAGCCTCCCAGTGTTGCATGACAAACCGTTAAAGCAGAGGGGAATTTCAGAAGCCCTCCGGGGACCCCCAAGATCTTGTCACCTCTTTGGAATGCCAGAGTACATCTGGTCCTGTACTTACGTTGAGGGGCTCCAAGATGTTCAAGTGCACCAAGCAAACCATGAGTTTCACCGTGATGTCGATGGGAACCCCCTCTGGGATGGAGCAGGTGACCTTTTCCGAAGCTAGAAGAAGACCAGGATGCAATGTCAGCAGCACCTCGATTTAGTCTCAGAGGGCAGCCATCTTGGTCTGCGGCAGAAGAGCCACATTCGACTCCTGCGGTACCTGTGAGACCAACGAGGTTTTAACGGCATGCGCTTTCGAGGGTAAAATCTCCCTTCGTCAACGAGGGGCCTCCGCTTCTGCTTGTATCTGATGAAGGGAGGATGAAGGGAGCTTTGAACCCCGAAAGCGCAGGCCTCCAGAATCTTGTTGGTCTCTAAAGTGGTACTGGATTTGAATCTAGCCATTATAACAGTTGTTTCCCCAACTACCATCTAAAGGTAAAGGTTTCCCTTGCTCGAGAGCCGAGACCAACGAGGTTTTCACGTCATGCGCTTTCGAGGGTAAAACCTCCCTTCGTCAAAGAGGGACCTCCGCTTCTGCCTGTATCTGATGAAGGGAGCTTTGAATCCCGAAAGCGCAGGCCTCCAGAATCTTGTTGGTCTCTAAAGTGGTACTGGATTTGAATCTAGCCATTATAACAGTTGTTTCCCCAACTACCATCTAAAGGTAAAGGTTTCCCTGGCTCGAGAGCCAGTCGAATCCGACTCTAGGAGGCGCTGCTCATCTTCGTTTCCAAGCCGAAGAGCCAGCGCTGTCCGAAGACGTCTCCGTGGTCATGTGGCCGGCATGACTATAGATGCCGAGGCGCACGGAATGCTGTGACCTTCCCACCGAAGCGATACCTATTTATCTACTTGCAATTTCTTGCTTATGAACTGCTCGGTTGGCAGGAGCTGGGACCAGAGACGGGAGCTCACTCCGTCACGCAGCACTCGGGTCTCAAACTGCCGAGCTACAGACCTTCCGGTCTCCAGGTCAGCGTCTTAACCGTTGACCAATCACAGCCCCAACTACCATCTAGGGCTCTTCATTTACTGCTACCTCCAAGTTCTTCCTACTTTCCCTCTTGTCTTTTCTGATTTTTTTTTAAGTTAACTTCCCACACTTGTTACAGCAGAAGTCTTATCTTGCACAGTTCCACGTTCCCCCGCGTTCTCTCTCTGGTGTCATGATTAGGAGCGCGGACTCTAATCTGGGAGAACCGGGTCTGATTCCCCCCTCTTCCACGTGCAGCCAGCTGGGTGACCTCGGGTCAGACACAAGTTCTCTCAGAGCTGTTCTCTCAGGAGCAGTCCTCAAAAGAGCTCTGTCAGCCCCACCTACCTCACAGGCAGTGTTCCCTCTAAGCTGAGTTAGTGTGAGCTAGCTCACAGGTTTTTAGCCTCCGGCTCACACTTTTTTGCCTTCGCTCAGGAAGGGATGTGGCTCCAGAACAAACTAACTTATGTAGTAGCCAAATCACTCACTCACAACTTTAATGCCAGTAGCGCACAAGAGTAGAATGTTTGCTCACAAGACTCCACAGCTTAGAGGGAACATTGCTCACAGGGTGTCTGTTGTGGGGAGAGAGAAGGGCAGGGTATAAATCCAATCTCCTCCTCTTCTTTTTCTGTTGTGTCTAAACTGTAGCTAAAAGTCCACTGCAGCAAGCGGGGTGGGTGCGGGCCACGTCTATGCCTATTCTTTAGCTCTTCCCCTTCAAAACCCTATTAAAACGAACGCATTGCAACATTTTTGCCCCTATAAGCACTAAATGAGATGTGATATTTTTAGCCGCTGTCGTGTACAATGTGAAACTGAAGCCCCAAGAAGGAAGTGAAAAATCCCACAACCTTCTGTTTACATGGAGGAAAAGGGAACCGCCGGATATATTTATTTTGTTTGGATATTTATGCCCCATTTTTCTCCCCAAAGGGGGACCCCCAAGCAGCTGACAGCCTTGTTTCCCCCCCATCTCTGTTTTGTCCTCCAGCCATCGCCCTGCGAGGTCGGTTCCGTTGCGACTCGCAGTGTTCCCTCTAAGCTGAGTGAGTGTGAGCTAGCTCACATTTTTTTAGCCTCCAGCTCACAGATTTTTGTCTTATCTCAGGAAGAATGGCTCTGAAGCAAACTGATTTATGCAGTAGCCAAATCGCTCGCTCACAACTTTAATGCCAGTGGCTCACAAAGTAGAATTTTTGCTTACAAGACTCCACACCTTAGAGGGAACATTGGTTGCGAGTGCGTGTGACTGGCCCAGGGTCACCTGGTGAGCTTCCAGGGCAGAGCGGAGATCCTTGCCTGGTCATCTGGTCACTACACCACACCGGCTCGCAGACGCTAAACTACAAGATGGACCAGCTGCCTCTTCCAACTAAAATAATCCAGGATGTGAAACAACAAAGCATTTGGAACGTTTTTAAGAAGAAGAAGAAATTGGATTTATACCCCGCCCTTCACTACCCAAAGGTGTCTCAGAGCGGCTTACAAACTCCTTCCCCTTCCCCTCCCCACAACAGACACCCTGTGAGGTCGGTGGGGCTGAGAGAGCTCTGACAGAAACTGCTCTTTTTCAAGAACAACTGTGCCAGAACGATGGCTTGCCCAAGGTCACCCAGCAGCTGCAAGTGGAGGAGTGGGGAATCAAACCCGGTTTTCCCAGATTACAGTCCACGCACTTAACCACTACGCCACACTGGTCCATAAAGATCTTCCCATGAACCAGACTGCAGGGAGAAAGTGGATTTTCTGACCGTGGACTGGCATTTTGGACTGGTCCAATTCCACAGGTCCTGTCCACAGCGGGGGCCATCATCACTTTTATCTACCAGAATTTACGGTACGACTCTTACAGTACAACTCTTTTCAGGTCTGTCTCTCCCTCTCTCTTTTTTTTTTGTTTTGAAAAACAGGTGCTGGAACTCTCAAGAGGGAAATGAAGTTTTCAATCTGTATACTGAAAACTCATGAACTTTTAAGTATTTTTAAAAGAATTTTGTCAAAGAGGTTTCCCCCAGAAAAAAAGCCCTGACTCTATTGGACTTCTGATTGACACTAGCTTTGAATAGAGTAACTTGCTCACAAGGAGAAGGGGTTTCACGTGCACAGTCTGGGCGGTCGGTTGCCGACTCCTGTCCCTCCTCCATTTCCACCGGAGCTTGCACTTTAGGGGGAGAGAGAGAGAGAGAAATATTCTGAAAACGAATGCTTCTGCGAATCCAGAATGATATTATGTAATTGCTCCGTTTTAGCTGCTTTCTTCTGCCATGGAGTCTTTATTAGTAACAAAGCAAACAAAGCAGAAACAGAATCCTAAGAGAAGACGAGGGTACAGGGACCACAGAAACCGTGAAAGGTAACACCATGTCCCACTATTAACATTCATCCCATGATTTTGCTAACACAAAAGCCTGACCATTAGAAACCGATTCAAAAAGAACTGGCTGAAATAACTGGCCTGCTCTCCTAAAGAGAGAAGGATCTGGAACGCCCGGGCCAGGACGGAATTATTCACTGCTGAGCCTGTTTAGTAACCTCACATTTAATTCTATGAAAGGTCGGGCGGCATAAGGACCCTGAAGCTGCCAAAACAGCTTTTCCATTTGCAGATGAAAGGAGGGTGATTTTCACCGATTCCCCCACGCACACACTGTAGAGCCCCCCCCCGTACTGTTCTGGGGGAGGGGTGCCTGCCGATCCTCAGAAGCACAGTTTTGCGGGGTTTTGGGGGGGGGCCCTATTATTTAAGTAGCCACAGACATCATTGCATTTTAAGCTATTTACCTGATTTCTTGCATCACGCAGCAGTGCATAAGAGAGTTGCTATTTCTCGTCCATTTTTAAAGGGCAAATGCAAACAGACACACTGCCAAAGGAAACTTAAAGACATTTCTTTAAATAACATCAGAACCGTTCAGTGATCATGCACTGTTTTCAGAGAGAGATTCAATAATCCCAGTACCTTCATTCTCCAAAGAAGAGTCCCCTTCTTCTTCTTCTTCTTCTTCTTTCTTCTCAAGCACAATCCCTGAAAAGTCTGTGATAACCTAAAAACAGACAGGAGAGAGTTGCATCTGGCTAATGTGAGAGGGTAATATGGGTAGGGGGAAACCCTAAGGGGCAATTCAAATATTCAAGGGGACATATGGTACAGCCCTCTCGGAGGACCGTATCATCTCAGGATGCATGTGGGGACACGGCTGTTTGAAAAGAATCCCCCGATCTGGAAGCCATTTTGGTTAATCAGTCCTGCTCCCAGACATATTCGAAGGTGTGACAAGCAATGTTCCCTCTAAGCTGTAGAGTCCTGTGAGCAAAAATTCTACTTTGTGAGCTACTGGCATTAAAGTTGTGAGCAGGTGATTTGGCTACTGCATAAATTAGTTTGCTCTGGAGCCATCCTTCCTGAGCCAAGACAAAAATGTGTGAGCCAGAGGCTAAAAAACTGTGAGCTAGCTCACACTAACTCAGCTTAGAGGGAACACAGGTGACAAGTACAAGGCGAACAATACCATGTGGTCCTTTCACTGTCTGATTTGGCTCTTAGGAGACCATCCACATCCAAAGCACCCAGACGTCTGCAACTTTTCCTAAGGTGACTAACAGTGCCACGCTAGGAGGAGTTACAACTCTCCAGGTCTAATGAAGTCAATGGGCTTACAAAGCTTAACCTGGTCCCCTTAAGCAAGAGGTTTCTATTAATCTTAGGGTTCTCGCCCCGCTGGGTACACAACTGTCAGTAGGACAACACAGACGCCAAAGTGTCACTGATACAGATTAGGCTAGCCGTGCAAAGGAAGGGATCCATGAGCTGACTATTAAGATATACTATGAACTGTTGCCGCCATCGTTGGATAACATCATTATTATCAGGATCAATGACTACTAGCACTTTATAATTTTAACTTTAGAGTGTTTTAGGAAGTTGTAAGACTGCTAATAATTGTTATCTTTTTGTTTTACCCTGTTGTAAGCTGCCCTGAGGGAGGGCAGGGTCTAAATTTGAAAGCTAGATAGATAGATAGATAGACAGACAGACAGACAGACAGACATAGATATAGATGATAGATGATAGACGATAGACAGATGATAGACAGATGATAGACACATATAGATAGATGATAGAAAGACAGATGATAGATATGATAGATAGATAGATGATAGATGATAGACAGATGATAGATGATAGACAGATGATAGACAGATAGATGATAGAAAGATAGATGATAGATATATGATAGATAGATAGATGATAGAAAGACAGATAGAAAGACAGACATATGACAGACATATGACAGATAGATGATAGATAGATGATAGAAAGATAGATAGATGATTGATAGAAAGATAGATGGGTGATAGATAGATGAGAGAGAGAGAGAGAGAGAGAGAGAGAGAGAGATACCGTAGATAGATAGATGGTACATAGACAGACAGACAGACAGACAGAATGGCTCAGCCTTGTAGGACATCATAGCCGTGTGCTCACCGCCAGCGCTTTGTCATACTGCTTGTTAGAAATGTACAGTTCGGCAGCTATATTGACGTCCTCCACAGAGACAAGGTTCTGGTGTTTGCCAAAGGCTTCCTCCATGATCTCAATTGCTGCTGCAATATCATTGGCCTCGTAGTAACTCCTGAAGAAACCAGCGGTAAACGCTGATGAGTGTTCATAATTAAAGGAAAGGGAAATCTGACGACAGAGCGAAATCCAGAAGCACCAACATAATTTCCTGGGGTAGGAGGTTTCATTGGCTGCCGAATAGCCCAACCCAGCCTGAGCTCATCATAGCTGGGAAGCTAAGCAGGGTCAGCCGTGGTTGGTACTTGGAGGGGAGACCACCAAGGATGTTCAAGGTCGATATGCAGAGGCAGGCTATGGCAAAGCATCTCCGCTCATCTCTCACCTTGGAAACCCCCTGGTCCTGGGCACGTCATGAGTTGGCTGGAGCACCCAATGATTATTGTTACAAGCTTTCATTGGTCAAGGCTCACGTCTTCATTTGTACCTGACAAAGTGAGTTCTGACTTATGAAAGCTTATAGAGGAGGAGAGGAGATTGGATTTATACCCCTTGCCCTCCACTCGGAGTCTCAGAGCGGCTTACAAACTCCTTCCCCTTCAGACACTGTGTGAGGTAGGCGGGGCTGAGAGAGCTCTGAGAGAACTGCCGTTGAGAGAAAAAGCTCTGAGAGAAAAAGAGATTGGATTTATACCCCGCCCTTCACTCGGAGTCTCAGAGCGGCAACTTATCAGATCAATGAATAAGGCGTGAGGTGTAATACGTAGTTATGTAGTAACTAAGACTCCGGAATGATACTTCGTTTCGTTGAACAACTTATTCAGAAGCAAAAGCGCATTACTATAGAAAAATACAAAACATATCGCTGACAATAGAATGCATGACAGACTGGAGCATTCCGGAGTCTTCGTTACTACATAACTACGTGTTACACCTCACGCCTTATTCATTGACCTGATAAGTTGCCTTGTTTGTAACATATACATCGAGTAGTTTTCACATTATGTACTGTATTTGTTAGATTGATTTATAAACTGCAGTATTATTATTTAGCATCTTTTTCTCAGCTTTTTTCCTTCTTTCATCAGTTTCAGCTGGGAAGTCTCTTTGTACTTATTCCGATAAAGGGTTCTTTCAGGCATGAATCAGCCTTATACTGCATCAGACCATCAGTATCCGCAACTCAGACTGGCAGCAGCTCTCCAGGGTCTCAGGCAGAAGAGGTCTTTCACATCATCTACTGCCTGGTCCTTTTAACAGGAGATGCCGGGGATTGAACCTGGAACCTTCTGCATGCCAAGCAGAGGCTCTTCCACTGAGCCACAGCCCCTCTTTACAGCTCTCCAAGGTCTCAGGCAGAGGTCTTTCTCATCATCTACTGCCTGGTCCTTTTAACAGGAGATGCCGGGGATTGAACCTGGAACCTTCTGCATGCCAAGCAGAGGCTCTTCCACTGAGCCACAGCCCCTCTTTACAGCTCTCCAGGGTCTCAGGCAGAGGTCTTTCTCATCATCTACTGCCTGGTCCTTTTAGCTGGAGATGCCGGGGAATGAACCTGGGACCTTCTGCATGCCAAGCAGAGGCTCTTCCACTGAGCCACAGCCCCTCTTTACAGCTCTCCAGGGTCTCAGGCAGAGGTCTTTCACATCATCTACTGCCTGGTCCTTTTAACAGGAGATGCCGGGGACTGAACATGGGACCTTCTGCATGCCAAGCAGAGGCTCTTCCACTGAGCCACAGCACCTCCCCACCACTGGTCCCTTAAGGTCACTATTACCCACTCAGACTGGCAGCAGCTTCCAGGGTCTCAGGCTGAGGTCTTCCACGGCATCTACCGCCTGGTGCTTTCAACTGGAGATTCTGGGGACTGAACCTGGGACCTTCTGCACGCAAAGCAGAGGCTCTGCCACTGAGCCACGGCCCCTCCCCTCTGTTCTTGGCATGTAACGCCATGTTGACAGCAAGAAAAAAGAAACATATGTTGAGAAAGTAGGGGTGCACATTAAATAGTTCCCCAGATGCTCACTTTGCCATATCCCTTGCCAAATGCATAAAGCGATCGCCGTCAAAAGGGGTCAGGAGATTCAAAATGCGCCTGTAGCCATCCATCGCCAGCTTGTGTTCCCCCAACTGCTCGTACAGGCTTGATCTCTCCCACAGGTAGCGCACGTTGGTAGGATCATATTTCAGGGCTGTAGAAACAGACGAGGCATTATTACGGCCTTTGTAGTCATACAAACCTCAGCCAAGTTCACAGCATCGGCCTGATGGAGAGTTATACAAACGGCAAAGCCTGCCCAGCGTTTTGCATCATTTCATAGGATCACAGAGTTGGAAGGGACCTCCGGGGTCATCTAGTCCAACCCCCCTGCACAATGTAGGAAATTCACAAATACCTCCCCTCCCACACCACCAGAGTCCCTTGCTCCACGCCGAGAAGATGACAAAAAACCCCTCCAGGATCCCTGGCCAATCTGGCCTGGAGAAAAATTGCTTCCTGACCCAAACGTGGCGATCAGCATTTCCGTGGGTGGAAGAAAGGGTCACAAAAACTAAGCACTGATGCAGCCCTTCCTGCCCTCCCTCTCATGATCTGCCTGAGTTCACATTCATTTGGACTAGCCCCCGCATAAAGAGAAGAGGACTGGATTTATACCCCGCTCTTCACTACCCAAATGAGTCTCAGAGCGGCTTACAAACTCCCTTCCCTTCCCTTCCCCTCCCCACAACACACACCCTGTGAGGTGGGTGGGGCTGAGAGAACTCTGACAGAAACTGCTCTTTTTTCAAGAACAGCTCTTAACAGAACTACGGCTTGCCCAAGGTCATCCAGCCAGGTGCAAGTGGAGGAGTGGGGAATCGAACCCAGTTCTCCCAGATCAGAGTCCACGCACTTAACCACTACACCAAGGAGGAGGAGGAGATTAGATTTATACACCGCCCTTTATTCGGAGTCTCAGAGCAGCTTACAAACTCCTTTCCCTTCCCCTCCCCACAACAGACACCCTGTGAGGTAGGTGGGGCTGAGAGAGCTCTGAGATAACTGCCCTTGGGAGAACAGCTCTTGTCAGAACTTAGGACTGGCCCAAGGTCACGCCAGCCAGGTGCAAGTGGAGGAGTGGGGAATCAAATGCAGTTCTCCCAGATTAGAGTCCACGCACTCAACCTCAACACCAAACTGCTTTTCTTTCTGGTTTTTAATGCTCACTCGACTTCCCCCGAATACCAAGAGGAAAGAAATCAGATACCTGAGCAAGCATACTATAAGGAACTTCCATGTTCAGTGGCACTATACCATAGAGCGCTAAGTACTGAGGATAGACGACAAGGGGCGGCTGGTTTTTCATGCCCTGCTCATGAACTAACAGAGGCCTTTGGCTGACCTCCACAGGGAAAAGAAGACTGGACTGACCCAGCAAGGCCATTAACTTTTATGTATGAATGAATTCGTGTCACTTCCCCCTCAAATCTTACATAGCATTGCTTTACTACAATACTGCCTCCCTTTGTTGCTTAGCTTATTTTAGCTGAAAAAATTGTATGATTCTCTTATTCACATTATTTTATGTTACTAATTTTATTAACTTTCTCTTGTTTGTGTTTTTATACTGTTCCCATGTTATTACTGTTTTTAATAACTCCGATTCTATTAAATTTTCCAGGCAGATCTGATGAGTTTAATATCTCCCTCCCCCCCTTTCATATTGTTCTAACAAAATCACCTTTAAGGTGGCCAAATGTTGCCCCTCGGCAAGACCAACAAGGAAGCAGCTGGTCAGGTCTCCTTATTCACTGTCTCTGCTATTGAAATCGGCCTGCCAGGCTGCTGGGGAATTTCATTGTTTGCAAATGCGCTAACGACGAGTGCCAATTGTGACTGGTCGATGATTGCAACTAAGGAAGAAATACTGAGAGCCAGTTTGGTGTAGTGGTTAAGTGTGCGGACTCTAATCTGGGAGAACTGGGTTTGATTCCCCACTCCTCCACTTGCAGCTGCTGATGTGACCTTGGGTCAGTCATAAGTTCTGTCAGAGCTGTCCTTGAAAAAGAGCAGTTTGTGTCAGAGCTCTCTCAGCCCCACCCACCTCCCAGGGTGTCTGTTGTGGGGAGGGGAAGGGAAAGGAGTTTGTAAGCCGCTCTGAGACTCCAAGTGAGACTCTCTTCTTCTTCTACTGCCTCCCCTTTTGCTTCTGGAATTTCACAGGAAAGTTGCTATTTACAAAAAGGAAAGGTTTAAAGCAAGACAAACAAATAAAAAGGCAACGTTTGAGTCCGGTGGCACCTTTAAGGCCAACAGCGCTGCATTCTGGGTATTTTGCGTGCAAGCACCCTTCTTCGTATCTGTAGACTAAATAAAGCGTTGCTGGTCTCAAAGGTGCCACTGGACTCAAACTTTGCTCTGCTGCTTCAGACCCACACGGCTACCGCTCTGAGGCTGCGGTCACATGGAGCATTAGCCACGCTACAGAGACGGAAGATAGGCAAATTATCCCGGTGCGATCACACCGCCACATCGGGGAAGCATAGAGCTCTTGTGGCAAACCCGAGGCTTCCCGCCAAAGATGTGGAGTTAAAAACTAGTACCTCCGAGGTACTAGTTTCTGGAAACCGCGGGGCAAGGGCTGGCGTCTGATCGCGTTTCTGGTGGTGGTACCCGGCGCCCGCCCATGTCCCTTCGCAAACAGGTTCCCCCCCCCCAAGTCTCCACAAGATGTGCACAAGCACACAACGGCGCATGTGCACAAAGAGGAAAGCGAAAGTGCCATTTTGGCTTTTTTTAAAAAAAGATCCCGTTTGTCATGGCAGTGGCGCCTAGCCATTGCTGGTGTGATCGCGCCGCACCGCTTCATTGCCGCGCTGCAGGACTGTCGTGTGATCGCCACCCTCATTTACCTGCCGGCTCTGAGGGAAGGACCCGCGGTGTGCCGCCAGCGCGTCTGATCACGTAATCGCGGATCAAACTGCGCCGGGGCAATTAGCCACGCCTCCCCACCGCGATATCCGGCCCGTGTGACCGGGGCCTGAGTCGACCAAACAAAAGTCAGTTTGTACACTGTATTTCCTCACAGCTGCCTGAATGTACGATATCATTATTATGACCTATGTTCCATAGATCACTGTAGACAGATTATGTTCTATAGATGAAGAAGAAGATAAGAGAATGGAAAGGGAAGGAGAAAGGGAAGGAGAAAGGGAAGGGGAAGGGAAGAGAACAGTAATAGCGTCTATATAGAAATCGGAACAAGCGGCTACACTTAAAACTACAGCATACTAAAAATCTGGAATTTGTATATGTAATGATTCCATTTTTGGTGTGGGCGTGTATTTCTTTAAATGTTTAGCGTGACTGCAGTAATGTAAGGAGAGTGATAGAGGGAGATAAGTGTGATGTGATTGGCTGATGACTGAGAGTGTGGGAGGAGAGATGTCTGTGAGGAGATTCTGTGTTCTTGAATAGACTTGTGTGAGAGTCTGTGTGACAGAGGTTTAGCCTGTGTGGCTATGAGAGAGAAAGTTCAGCCTGTGTGGCTGTATGAGCAAGAGAGTTCAGCCTGTGTGGCTATATATATGAGAGAGAGAGAGTTTAGACTGAGTATCTAAGCCTGTCAGAGTGGAGTTTCGGTGTTTGAGAGACTGTGTGTGACGCCAAGCGTTGTCAGTTATATTTTCTTTCTTCAACAATAGTTTGAAAATACCCAGAAACCTATTTTGTTCTTTTATAAATAAATTATGATTTGTTTAAACTTATCCCAGAAATCAGAACAGTCCTTCCTCAGGGCCACATAGTCCTCTGAAGCGCTCAGACACTGGGTCATTCTACCAAAATAGAGAGTGTTGGAATTTTTAATTCCTGGTGGCAGCAGAAATCTACTAAATTCATGTACACAGAGTGTGAATTAAAGGAGAAACAGTCTCCCCAGTAAGCAGTACATCACAGTATACTAGGGCAAAAATAACAGATATGTTAAGACCTTCAGGATAGGAACAGAATCTACTGACTTCCCAGCGATTTGGCTTCCAATTTTAAACAACTTGATTTCTCAAAGAAGAAATCCCAAAAGTATTAGATGATTTGAATCTATGGTAAAGACTGTTCACCTCAGAATTAAAAACAGAAACTTTTCTTATTGGATAACTGTGATGTATAGATAATGTAGGCAAGTTTGGTAAATTTTAACTTTGTAGATATGTTTTGTTCAAAACCAATATATATATATATATTAAAAAAACAGAGTGTGACCTGCACAGCCTGTGGGGGCCTGTTATTACCTGAGGCAGGTTCATCGTTGTCATGGAGACCATGAGCCGCTCCTGACAAGGCCGCCTCGGAATGGATGCTGAAGTCCACCCAAACAACCAGTCTTCAGCACCACCCCTGAGAGCCCCGAACGCATTGGACAAAGCAGCTGTTGGAATTGCTCTCCCAACTGTCCTGCTCGTAAACATTCGATAAAAGTCTAATTCCAGCATCACTGCTGTCAATGGCTTCACGTCATGTACCGCTAAAGATTCTTTCTCAGCTGTCAGACACGGAAACTTGACATCCGCTAGCTTACCTTTTGCGTAGCAGAAAATGGCCTGCTTAATATTGTCCTGCTCGAGCGACATTTCCGCCAGCCGCACCCACTCCTCGGTGTCGCTGGGGTTTAAGTGAGCGGCAATCAGTTCAAACTGCAAAGACTTCTCCATATCGCCTTGGTCTTCGTAAATCATGGCAAGCGTCGAGAAGGGTTCGTACGCAAGAGGAGCTGCTCAAAACAAAGCAAACACCAATGCGTTCACATTTCAATCAGCTGGAGCCACCCAAGCTTCCATTGTAGCACATGGCTGGAAACTGTGCAAACTGTTCCACTGTATTAAAATAAGAAGCACCCATCCATCACCGCCTCCTCATCTAGCAACACATGACCCACATAACAATGCACCATTTGTTTATTAAAACATTTTTTGCCCAGAGACACAAAGTGATTCACAACTCTGGCCAAAGCTAGCCAACAGATCACTAATAAAACCAACAGTCTACTAAAACAGGAGTCAAAGGACTACGTGGGTAATTAACTGTGCATGCACAGCTGGGTTTCCTACCCCATATCCCTTCAGTCACACACAAACACACACACGGAAACCCCAAAACATCTCCAGGGGTTCTCTATATGCGGTCAAATGGCTTCTTAAATTCTCAGTCCATAGACTCAAGTAAGCTGATATAACTGGGGAGGGATGGCAGCCCAATATATAGCCCAATCTCGCCAGATCTCAGAAGCTAAGCAGGGTCAGTACTTGGATGGGAGACCACCAAGGAAGGCTCTGCAGAGGAAGGCTATGGCAAACCACCTCTGCTTCTCAGATCTTGGAAGCTAAGCAGGATGGGTGGATGGAAGACCACCAAGGAAGACTCTGCAGAGGAAGGCTATGGCAAACCACCTCTGCTTCTCAGATCTTGGAAGCTAAGCAGGATGGGTACTTGGATGGAAGACCACCAAGGAAGACTCTGCAGAGGAAGGCAATGGCAAACCACCTCTGCTTCTCAGATCCTGGAAGCTAAGCAGGATGTGTACTTGGATGGAAGACCACCAAGGAAGGCTCTGCAGAGGAAGGCCATGGCAAACCACCTCTGCTTCTCAGATCTTGGAAGCTAAGCAGGATGGGTACTTGGATGGAAGACCACCAAGGAAGACTCTGCAGAGGAAGGCTATGGCAAACCACCTCTGCTTCTCAGATCTTGGAAGCTAAGCAGGATGGGTACTTGGATGGAAGACCACCAAGGAAGGCTCTGCAGAGGAAGGCAATGGCAAACCACTTCTGCCTAATCGTTTGCCTTGAAAGCCCCTTGCTGGTGTCGCCACAAGTCAGCTGTGACTTGATGGCGTTTTACATACACACAAGAAAATACAATTAGCTTTCCAAGGTCAAAGACCTGGTGGTCCAAAGATGATGTTCTGTTTAAATACCATTTACATTTTAGAATAGAACACTTACATATATACACCCACACACTGAATTATTCTCATTTGTCCATCTTCCAGTCATTGCCAACTCAAAACCTTGCTCGATACGAGGACACACACCTTGTCTTATGATCTCCATGCACATCAGAATGGCCTCTTCGTGTTCTCCTCGGGCAAACCTGATGTTGGCTTCCCCCATGAGGCCTCTCAGCGCCCGGGGCAGCTTACTGCGGGGCCGTTTTTCCTAGGACAGAGAACCATTTTAGGGCGGGTGGCTCAGCCGAAAAGAACTCTTGGCTGAAGAGCTGTTTGGTCTAACTGAAGGTGCAGTCCTCAGAAAACAACTGAAAATCAGTGATGAATATGGAGCATATGGAGCAGAGGTCCATCAGTGGCTATTAGCCACAAGGTATAGATAGGGGCTCTGGGGCAAGTGATGCTCTGTCTTCTTGGTGCTTGGGGGGGGGTCAACAGTGGGAGGGCTTCTAATGTCCTGGCCCCACTGCTGGAGCTCCTGATGGCACCTGGTATTTTTGGCCACTGCGTGATACAGAGTGTTGGACTGGATGGGCCTTTGGCCTGATCCAACCCTGGCTTCTCTTATGTTCTTATGTTAGGTATAAACAGGAACTCTCAGTCTGGGGCAAGGGATGCTCTGTATTCTTGGTGCTTGGGAGGTGGGCAACAGTGGGAGGGCTTCTGGCGTCCTGGCCCCACTGGTGGACCTCCTGATGGCACCTGGTGTTTTTGGCCACTGTGTGACAGAGTGTTGGACTGGATAGGCCTTTGGCCTGATCCAACATTGGCGTCTCTTATGTTCTTAACTTGGAATAAGCCTCACTGAATGCACTTAATTAACAGGAGGAGGGGTTGAATCCAACCAGTTTTTGTCAGACAGTGAACAAGCAAGGGCGATCCCCATTTGACCACCTAAAAAGGCTAGACGGGGGATCACGGGACCTGCTTGAACACAAGCGGCGGGGAACAGAGCTTGTAATGAAGTGGAGAGGAGGGCAGGACCGAGTGGAGAAGGTTGCTGGATCCACCCCTAGGTTTTCACTGGAGGTGGAACAATAAATCCAACAATAGTCCTGAAGGGGCGGGAAATTATCTCTGGGGGAGTGAGGGCTGTTCTAGATGATGTTACATTGGGCCCCCTTTTGAAAGAGGCATCTTCTCTCCTGAAGGAGGAACACGCTAGCTTTGTGTGAAACCTACATTAAAAATAATTCGGGGCACCTTTTAAAAAACAAGCACTAGATGAATCGTCTGAGTGTTATAAAGTTACTGTGACTTTATGCTCCAAGTTACACTAATCACATCCAGTGAAATACAAATTAAGTCTTTTATTAGTAAGAGTGATGCGTGAAACAAACAGCAGACCCCCCCCTTCATTAGATTCCCTTGTAGTGTTCTACATTCCCAGTAACACACTAGAGTATTAACAAACAAGCAAGAGAAAGAAATATATAGAGCATGTCCAACTGGAAATTAACATTAGGTATTCTAGCTGCCATGGAGCTGCGGTGGCTCAAGTGGTTAAGGCGCTGAACTGCAGGCGGTGGAAGGTCAGTAGTTCAGCAGTTCGAGACCCGGGTGCCGCATGATGGAGTGAGCTCCCGTCTCTAGTTCCAGCTCCTGCCAACCTAGCAGTTCGAAAGCAAGAAATTGCAAGTAGATAAATAGGTACCACTTTGGTGGGAAGGTAACAGCGTTCCGTGCGTCTTGGTGTTTAGTCATGCCGGCCACATGACCACAGAAACATCTTCGGACAGCGCTGGCTCTTCGGCTTTGAAACGGAGATGAGCACCGCAACCCTAGAGTCGGATTCGACTGGCTTTCGAGCAAGGGAACCTTTACCTTTTTTATTCTAGCTGCCACCCATCTGTATCTGTGTGTAGTTAGAGGGAGAAATCAGCATTCTCCGTAGAAAGTCTGTCCAGCCAATTCCTAAGGGCTCAAATGAGCAGTCTGGTGTAGTCTCTCAATCAGATGCGTGAGGAGAATCCCGACTCTCCATACAGATGTCTGTTGTGGGACTAGAGCGCCTTCTCCTTCAAGCTTCAAGCATTAAAATTCATCACTGATTTTCAGCAGTCCCAGCAAAGGTCCCCAGAGGCGTTTAAACCTTTAAATACTTACTTTCATCATTTTCTTAGTTTCTCTATTAAGCACCATCTCCAGGGCAAAAACGTCTCCCGCTGTAGGCTGTTCCAAGGTTTCTTCATCCTCCTCCTCTTCTTCATCTTCCTCCTCTTCATTTTCTCCCATCATGGAAGCAAAAACTCGGTGGACGGATTTACTGACCCCATCCGATGTCTCTTCTGGTTGAAAAGAGAATAAATAGTAAAGATTTACAGTCGTGTCTGATTAGGCAGTGTTTGCAACCAATAGCTGAATCTGGGAGTTCCAAAAACACAGCTCGGCAAACATCTACTCTGCATATCAGAATCTCTAGTTCAGACCCCCAGTTTGATCCTATAGATATTTTTTAGCTGCAGTCGCACAAATCAATTCAGTCTTTCCTCTTAGGAATCCTGAAAACAGGGCTGCCAAAAACTCCCCATCCCAACCTGGCCATGAAAGCAGTGAATGTTTTGGGAGCACCAGATGGTCTAACATGGCAAAAACAAAGTTGGGGTGGACCTGGCCAGCAGAGTACCTCCATGGAAGATCTGACCCCTTCCAGGAAAAAAACAAAAACAATAAACTATTTCTTTCATAACAACAACAAAATGCTACGAAAGTTCACAGAAGGCAACCCCGCACCCTGTCCACAGTGCAAAAGACATTGCCTGGGATAGATGCACCCTCCAGGAGCTGAAAAAGAAACTAAATCCTCGTTATCTATAATGATCTACCCCCAGGACTGTTACGGTAAAGGGACTACATGGGCTTTCCGGTAAGGAGAGAGGGAAAGAGGACAGTGAGAGTGGAAAGTGCCATCAAATCACAGCCCACTTATGGCTACCCTGTTGGGTTTTCAAGGCAAGAGACAAAGAGAGTTAGTTTGCCATTGCCTGCCTCTGCAACCCTAGACTTCCCTAATAGTCTCTCATCCAAGGAGCAACCAGGACTGACCTTGGCCCCGGTCACACGGGCAGGAAAATGTGGAGGGGAAGCGTGGCTGTTTGCCCCGGAGCAAAATAACGCGCGGTTGCGCAATCAGACGTCACGTAGAGGTCCCGTCCAGGTCCCGTGGTTAGGGGGGAGGTGCCGATCACAGGACAATCCTGCGGCGCGGCAAAGAAGCGGCCTCTCTAGCAAAAGGCTCCATGGGTTTAACCCCTTCCAGGGCTGCAGAGGAATGCAAACTGTGGGCCGCCCTCCCACCACGCCCGCCTGCACCTCCCCCTCTGCCGCCCGGTGCAGAGAATTCCTCTCGAGCAGGCCAAGGCAGGAGGGGGGGGGTATGGAAAAAAGGAGGGGGCTGTGTTGGTTGTTTTTAAATGAAGTGTGCGCATGCGCCGTTGGGTGCTTGTGCGCATCCCATGCAGACTTGGGGGAAAAAAACTTTTAGCGATGGGACATGGGCGGGCGCCGGATGCCACGAGCTACCACCGGAAATGTAATCAGACGTCCACCCTTGCCCTGCGATTTCCGGAAACTAGTACCTTGGAGGTACTAGTTTTTTTTACCCCGCATCTTCGGCGGGAAGCCTCGGGTTCGCCACGGGAGCTCTACGCTTCCCAGATGTGGTGCTGTGATCGCGCCCGGAAAATCCGCCTTCCGTCTCTGTAGCGTGGCTAATGCTCCGTGTGACCGCAGCCATAGTTTAACTTTTGAGGTCTGATGACAGCAGGGCAGCCTGGCCATCCAGGTCAGGGTGGAATGAGGATACCTAGAGCCAAATTGGTCTCTCTGAAGTGCCTACTGTGTTCTCCTACTGTTTTTAGATTACTTGGTTGGGGGAATGAATATCCCACAAATGTAACTAAATCTGGAAATCAGTACAGTATATATTAAACAGACATTCTTGAAATGAGGCAAACAGCAATACATCATTTGTTTTCTGGGCAAGACACGCAAGATGCCATATGTTTTCACTGAGTAACCATGGTACATTTATGTTCCTTCAATTAAGCGGCTGGTATAACACATACCTTCAACTTCGCTGTGACTCTCAGGGGCCACATTCAAACCTTGTCCAGAAGTAGATGGACCATCAGGATCTTCTGCAATTTCTTCAGTGAGCACATTTCCTTCATCCTGTGGAGACCAGCAAAAGTGTAATAAAAAGATCTGTTTTAGTTTGCTATAGGGTCGCCAGCTCTGGATTGGGAAATACCTGTAAATTTGGGGGGTGGAGCCTGGGGGGGGGGAAACAGAGTCCGGAGAGGGAAGGGACCTTAGCAGGGTACGATGCCATAGAGTCCACCCTCCAAAGCAGCCATTTTCTCCAGAGGAGCGGATTTTTGGTCATCTTGAGATACTGTAATAACCTGATGGTTGGCAACACTAGTTTGTTAAACCATAGCACCGTAGAGAGATTCAGGTGG